TTAACAAAGAAGGATTTGGTTGTTGGGAGTATTGTTGACATTTGGAGCTAAACAACAGATCATGTCAAATATGTTGAACGCTGCACATTTGATTATTCTCTAACTGAGTAATTTCGAATTTGATATCTCGGGTCGTCCAAATAGCTGGTTTGCTAAGCATTATGTAAGCAATTGTCTTTGATATTAGAACAGCAGAGAGTGCTCAAGCTGGACACACATGTCAAAAGCCATCTTAAAATTGTGACTGAGGTTCACAAGGTCATGAGAAAGATGAAAAAGATCATCCGTCTCATTTTTGTCAAATACTCACCTTACTATCTTCCCACTAAAACATCAAGCCGATTCTCAAATTAATCCTCTACCACTCGTCCTGGTAACTTATTCTAGCCATTGAATATTTTCTCTGAAAAAAAATTGTCAGTTCTCCTACAGTACGAGCAGATGATGGTTTCAAGGCCACAAGAATTTTGGTACATCATCTGAGAGAGAAATGCAGCTAAAATTGATATAGAATATAACAGAGATCCACAAAAAATCCCACAGAAACGCACTTATTTAAAAAGAGCAATTGTGTCCTGGATGCCATATTGGCCAATTTGATTGTGTCCCATTAGGGTCTGTCTTTAGCAAATGTGTCATTGCAATTTTCTGTAAATAGACTATACAGTACTTATTTTAGTACAAAATCTTCCGGTCCGTCCCAGAATATCCGCCTTAGGGGAGAATCGTCAATATGCATAGAGAGCATGAGCTTCCAAAAGCATAAGACCTCACCCCATTGTGTTTGTAAGTAATATTTTTTTTGAACAAAACTCACTTTAAAAAAACAGCACGAGGGGGGAAAAAAGCAATACGGTATTTAGCTCATTGTGCAATTAACTCAAGTGACAAAACATTTCCGACTGTGTGTGTGAGATTTTTCTGTCTCCTGCCATATCATTTCAAAGTTTCAGCATTGCACTTCATATTTTTACAACTAAGTGTTACACGATCCGATTGTGGAGACTATTCATATCTCCAGCTGTTTCCATCAATATGCTGAGTGAGGGGCTGGAACACCCAGTACTCGTTAAAACATGCCTTGATATACAATTGATGATTAATTCATCAAAAAAAAATCTGCTTGCATTTTCCTCACAACGATGAAGAATGGAGGAACATTCCTTTATTGTCTCATACCAGGCTGACACCTGGCTCAGTTGATAGCACTCTCACCTCTCAGTCAGAAGGTTGTTAGTTGAAGCCTGATGTCAGGGCTTGGAACAAATAGTCTGGACTGATACCATAATACAACGATGGGGAGGTGGCCACATTGTTAGAGATGCCGTCCTTTGGTTGAGACTTTAAACCCAGGATCGTCTGCTCATTCGGATGGATATTAAGAATTCCAAGACACTATTCGAAAGAGAAGGGAATTCCCCCGGTGTCCTCGCCGACAATCCCCTGGATAAAATTGGTCACTCATGCTATTTGTGGGACTTTGCAGTGCACATATTGCCTTCAAATAAAGTCACTACATCTTACAGTTCCGTGAAGCACTTTGAGGTGTCTGACATAAAGGATGCTAAATCAAATGTAAGTATTATTGTAATGCTGCTTGACTACAACTTTATGGTGTAAGCTTCAAAGGGCCAAGTTATAAAATCTGGGGAGAAGCCATTTATTGAGACTCTTAAGCAGAATTGTTGCTGCCAACTTACACCCATCTCTCCTCACACCAATTAATATTGAAAGCTATCAGTCAGAACTCATTGCTGCTTAGCTGCTTAACATAAAATTACATTAGAAGTTCACATTCTCTCAATTGGCTGAACATTTAGCCGATTCTCAACATTTTCTGTAAGAGGGGAGGATTATCCTGTAAAATCCAGTGTACTTTTAAAATCCGTGGGGCTCAATTGACTATGTTAAAAGAAGCTGCTCTCTGGTATTAAGAGGCTTCAGGTTTCATTGTGCTCTGCTCCTGCTTTGACTACTGAATATCCTCGTTAGCATATTAATCTACAACGCATGAAATATTCACTGACCGCAGTATGTACTGCAAGTGTCACCTGTATGTTTAGAAAATGTTATTTTTTTAGGACTTTTTCCTAAAAAATAACAATTATATTAAGATTTCTATAATTCTGTTATGAAGCTTAGATTGAGCTACATCCATTGCAAATATTTATTCATTTAAACAATACCATATATAACACTATTGTAATGAAATCATCTTTGCTGCGAAGCAATGTCCTTGTCAGAATCTGCGTGACTAAGCTGGCTCTGAAGTATGAAACGCATTACTATCAATTAGAGGTAAAAGGGAGGCTTGACTGACATTTGCTAACCAAAAGGCAATGACTTACTCCAGGCAGCTGGAGAGAAAAGCAAATTATAGGAGGTGTCACAGGTCGTAAAAAGGCAAATGAAAAGAATTTCTGAAAAAGCTTGAGAAAAGAAAATGTAGGTTAAGATAGAATGCAAAAAAGGAATGCAAAGCTGACCAGAAAGACACCGAGCTGGATTCTCAAATGGGTACAGATGAGTCTCTAGGAATTAATGAGAAAAAATCAATCGCTTTAAGATTCGAGCTTCCGCTTTCCACTGATTTGAGAGGCTCATTCCTCTGCTCCTCATAGACTGAACAATGGAACATTAGTGCTCAGATTTTCCCTGTAAGAAGCTAGCAATTCAATTACCACTGCAGTCTTATAGCAATTCTGTTATATTCTAAGTGAATTGTGATGTTGAATTTTTCCCCTGCCAAGTTAATTTCAGCACCTGAGTTTATTGTTAGCAGGTCCAGTGTAAGCTATTGTTAATTGTAGGATAATTGAACCATTGTGAAAAAAAATGTTTGCCACCCTGCACCCAGTTATCTGCAGTTAGTGAGTGATATGACAGGCACATTGGGCACATTGCTCTATCTATAGGTTTGTTTTTTCCATCACTTTCCATCTATAGGTTTGTTTTTTCCATCACTTTCCAACATTGAGAAACTGCAATATATCCTTCCCAGGATTGAGATCAATAGACTTATGTTGCGTCAATGAAGAGTTTTGTTGAAAAACAAAATCGAGATGTTGAGGTCCACAGTGGAAGAGCACCAAAATTTAAAAACGCGAGAATGAGCAGGAAAGGGGAAGAGAGGAGGGATGTGGAAAATGATGGGATAGGATAGGCTATTTATCACTTACCACATTTTTTGCAAAGTAGCTTTTCAATAGCATTGGAAAGTTAGCTGTACTTTGCTCTGGGGCAAGACAGAACCTCCTTTATAAATGGCCGGGAAAGTATAAACAAGATGAACAGTAATGTTGGCATAAATGCTGCTGGGGTTAAGTATTATTCCTTTGGACCTGATTTTAATGAGCAACGAGAACTTAAAAAAAGAAAGATATGCGTACTTGGCTATTTGATTCAATTGACTTTCAAATGTATTCGTAGCGCCAGACGTCTGCGCTGCAAATGGACTCCTCAATTTGCCGATAGTTGAGGAGAAATTCTGGATCTATTAGATTTATTCTAGATTTATTCTGTCTGAGTTTAAACCATGAAGAATTAGACCTATTCTTAAATAAATAATTAATTTTGTGGCAGGTTTGTACTTGGGTTAAGAACTACAGAAAACCGACTAACAATAAAACTGAATTCAACAATTTGCCAAATTCTGGACACTCTGAAGTGCTGCATAAATAACCGATTAAGCCAAGACCCAATTGGGATTTTTTTCCTAAATGTTTTCAAAGTGAGAAACAGTTTGTCCTTCTGCTGATTTTTTAAAATCATATATTATGTGATTCAAACAACCGGCTTCAGGTTCTCAGATACAAACCGCGGATGTATAATTCCTCCTTGTGTCGCTGTGTCGAGTCTTTTGAGGAATACCCTGGATCCATCAGCATGCCGTTAAAACATGTTTTACGAGAAAATTACTGATCAGCTAATGATCACTGCCAGGGGGGAATGTTGGCCATAATCTGCTGCCTGTTTTTTGATGTGGACATGCACTGTATTGAGGGGGACTCTGTGCAAAAGATTTATTTCAAAACTCTCCAATAACATTTACAATAATTTACTAGAATATATTTGATTTTCAATTCTAATTTCTACTAGAAAGTTTTCTCATCTTTATAGAGAGTATTCCAGTCATTAGGTGCACAGAAAAGTAGGATTCTCAGTGATTGCCATTGCTGGTTTAGACTTGCCAGTTACAACAAAGGAGCATGTGGGCTTAGCAATATGGGTTGAGAAAACACCCCAACCTCGCCCTTATTTATTGTAATGCTGCGTGTAAAGGGCACAAGAATCATTTTGAACATGGTAATTTAACAGTTCTCTCTTCAAAAACTGTGTCTAGTTCAGCACACACAAAATGTGGTTTAAGCGCAAGGTTCTGTAAGTTGTTGAGTAGCTTCCCCATCCTTTAAAAATCCTACATTTGTCAATGAAATCTCTTCTTAACCACGATCTTAACTGCAAATTACGCAAAGCACACATGGGTATGGAAGAGAGCTTTTACTTCTGAACAGTGACCTGTCACAAGGCCCCACAAATTGCATTGTTATTCCTTCACGCTGTGAGTTGATGATAATCCTTGTATTTGATGTAGCGCCTTATCACGTCTTCGAGACGTCTCAAAGCGCTTCGCAGAATATGCTGCAAAATGAAAATTGACTGTATATTTTGTTGGGTGAAACGCGGCAGCCAATTGTGTACAGCAGGGTCCGCCAATCTTAAAAGTACAAAATGAAACCATTCCACAATTTTTAAGCCATTCTCGTCAGCTCAGGTTTGAAATATAAATAGAAATGAAGTTGAAGTCCCTTATAAGATCTGTAGCATCAATCTACCACATTGAGTAATACCAAGTCTCCACCACATGTCCATCTGATAGATTGGGGTGGTGTTTTGTGCTCATGTACACCAGCCTCCCACAGTAGATTGGAACTTAGTGATTTATACCACTGGGCATTCTGGTCTCTGAAGTAACCCCTGTTGATATTATTCTCTTGCAGGCAGAGCCAGAGGGATTTTCTCATTTCCACTTGTATGTCTGCGCTGCATTCCTCATCAAATGGAGAAAGGAAATCTTGGACGAAGAAGATTTTCAAGTAAGTCCATATCAGGTGCATGAAGACGCATTCTGCCTGTTCAAGACCCTTTGAAGATGGTTCAGTACCATCAAGGGTACTCTGCAGAGAATTCCAATGGGGCCCCGTAATGATCTGTTCAATGCAGTTGACCAAAACTGAAATAAATTTTAAATTTGGAGCAAGGTAATATAACCGAAAAACTACAGCATACATCAACCCAGACATTGACAACTATAAAATCATTATATGATCACACTTCCACAGCCAGCATCCATTTCTGTGCTCACAAACCTAATGGAAATTACTCATACCTTGTTCAGTGTTTTCAGAGAAGAGCATGTTTTTCTTTCATTGTTCGAATTAGTCCACATTTGAACACTTTGGGACATCTTCCTGACATGAAAGACACTATGTAAGTGTAAATTGAATTGTAAACGTACTTCAGCTCCTAACAAATCCACATTAACGTCAAAGGATGAAGCGAAAACAAGATTTCCTTTTCACATCCACTGAGAACATTACCACAATATACAGGATCAGTCAAGATATCAAATTCACTGCCAAAGGACACGTGTATATATATATATATAAGATAACCAATTATATCATTACATCAGTGGTAATAATTCATAAGATGCTTATTCTGGACCACACTGAGGATATCATGTCATATATAAACCTACCTTCAGATTCTGCAAGAGAGCAAATAATTGTCCATTATTACTCAGAATTACTTAGTTTCCTTACTCCACATGCCTAATAATAATCCCTCCAACACAAAACAGTAATAAATTGGTCATTTTCAATCCACGACTGTTTGTGGGACACTGCTGTGCGCAATTGGCTGCCGTGTTTCACCCACAAATATACGGTCAATTCACTTTACAGTATATTCTGTGAAGCACTTTGAGACGTCTAGAAGACGTGAAAAGCTCTATATCAAATGCACGGATTATTATTATTATTAGAATTAACTTAATCATGGCCTTCATACAGAGACAATGTAGTGAACCTGTAGAGGGTCTTGGTTAAAGCTGGAGGCATTAACTGTAAGCATCCTATTGCATGAAGGTTATACAAGCAATAAAAAAGGTACAGTATAGATTCACCAAGACGTTGCCAGGGATAAGGAGTTGCAGTTATGAAGAGGAGGAATATTAGGAGCGAGTGGGATTAGATTGTTGAAAAACACCAGATGGACTGAAAGTACCAGATGGACCAAATATCCTGTTTCTATGTTGTAATGTTCTATGTTTCTATGTAAATGATTAAGCGATGCTTTATGCCAGCAGGAATACATCTGTTTACAATTTGTAGATGAAAAATCCACAAAAGACCTTGGTAAAGCAAACCAAGAAAATAGACACGAGTGCCTTAATTTTTTCATAAAGTCCAACTGAAAGTTTGCCTTCTTTTAACCTGCCTTGGGTAGACTTTTGATCGTTTTCCATGGGAAATGTAAGACTACCCCCTTGTTCTGCACACATCTGCACAAAAAAGCTTATATTATCGAAGTTATTGAAATAATTGAAAATTCTTAACTACCGTTGTGAGTGAGTGAGTGAGCAGCATGCGAATGCTTTTACGAAGCTGTGCTGCTATTGTATCACCAATGATGTAACCCACATTCATTCCAGCACCATTTAGAAGGTAACCTTTGTAGGTTAATGGTGCTGTCAAGTACAGTTACATTTGCTGTGAAAAAAAACAGCTATCAGTAAAGAGCACTAAATCCCTGAAGCAAAACGACTGGACACAGACTTTGCATTCTAACCTTATCTGGTTCTCAGTGCCATGAGCTGGGTTTACTGCGTGGCAAATATGGACCACAAAAAATGTTTAACAGAAATACTATATAATATATATATATTGTATGTATTTAGGGCCAGAACTTGATAGTAGTGAACACTGTTATAACATTGTTAAGAGACAGCTTGATGCTATGTTGGAAGTTTTAGGGGCAGGATCCTCATCTATACCGGTGCTTATTGCAAAAATTGTAATTATGTCATGGTTTCAGTCTCAATTTCATCACTTCCTCCCGGTCCAAATATTTCATTAACCCTTATCTGCCCCACCGAGTACAGCATTAGAGCAGGAAATTACACCGACATCATTATGTTGTCACTGAGGCAAAGCCTTGTGACTTTACATTGAGAGGGTTTAGTTCCTTACAAATATCTGTCAAAAGGTTGCCTCTGACCAGCACCTCTTAAACATAAAATGGGGCAACAAGAGACGGAGAGAGACATTGACAAATGTACAATTGGATTATTTGCAACACTTATAGTTACGGAGCATTTCGGTGGAATATGCTGCATCTTTGAAGAGAAAAAGCAACTGACCGTAACCGTTCTGCTCCCATTACATTTTGTGGAATTGGATTCTCTTTGTGGAATCTGCTGGTGCCAGAGAGCATTAGATCTTCTGAAGCACTTGAATGCAAAGACGAGCAGTGAGGACAAGTTAATGTTAAGCCGCCAGAAATGTAACACAAATGATAAAAGCATCCTACTTACAAGCGCCACATTTAGCAAACATTTGGGTCTGACATTCTATTACGTGAACACCACCAATCGAATGCAAATTATTACTGATATTGCAACAAAGTAATATGTAATTAATCTTGCTGCGTAGCTCAATGTGCTTGGTTTGACTGGTCATTTAGTTTTTACTGTTGATGTTATCAGTCATCGTAACTGCTTCTTATGTAACCAGGTAAGGTGGAGCTCTTTCCAAAGAAACTCACTCGCTGCACTATGTTCCACGTATTTCATGCAAGTCTTATTTTTAAGTTTGTTCTTAAAGTGTAAAGTGAAGCATTTGTACTTTTGTAATCTTGTTCATGGGTTCTGAGTTGACTGTCCCATTCCAGTGAAAAACTGGTGCTCCTATTTCTCCAAATTAAAGACTCTCATTTGTTTTATAGGGTCTTCTGATGTTATTGCAGAATTTACCGACAATCCACTGGGGCAATGAAGAGGTTGGCCTCCTGCTAGCAGAAGCCTACAGGCTTAAGTACATGTTTGCAGATGCACCCAATCACTACAGGCGATAAGTGATTAGGAAAATAGATCAACAGCAAAATTTAAACCCCTCGTTGTCTGTCTGGTCAGATGGACCTCAACTGCATCCACAGAGACAGCAAATATTTCAACTACCGTGGAAGTGGTGGCCAATTACTTGAAGCTTTTCTTAAGCTATTACTGTAATATATGTAATCTGAGGGAGACTGTGATCTGCCTCTGTCTGCTCTTAAGAGACTTACTAAATCTTTGACACTGGGTTATACATAATTCTCATTAGTAAAGGATATAAAAGACATTATATACTGTGTTTCTGTATATGAGTTACAATGTATGTGTCCTTAATTTGTACTGTGAGCATCTATTTATAAAGTTGGCTTTTGAACTTGGGTTTTGTGTGTAGAAAGGAGACTGGTTAAACTTTTCAAGCATTCTTAAGCATAACTGGCATCCAAATTCCTTGTGCGAAATAATCTTCACAATATTTTTAATTGTGACAATAGCAAAAAAAACATTAGTTCCCCTCTGATTTTATTTTCAATTGTGCATTATTTGTAAACTGTCCCGTGTTCCAGTGAGGTGCAGTTCTTCTAAAAAAAATGCATTTAATCTATAATAATCATTTTTATAAGCAATAAAATGATTCTTGCTTCAATGTAAAATTTGATGAATTTAAAAGAAGCTAATTATCTTTGTAATTTTTTTAAAGATTAACATGATCTGTTTATTATGACCACTGTAATACTGTGTTTAACAAAAGGCTAACCCTATTGCCAATACTGAAAAGCTATAGAGTTACACAACTGTGCTGAAGCCATTCAAAGTTAAAATATGTTTCTCAGGTATTTCCTTTTAATTTGTGTGCCTTTTAACCTATCCTATTTGTGTAAAACTAGGAAATGCAATATTTATCTTTTAAATTGCTTTAAAAGAATTTGATGGTGTTCCCTGTAACTCTTAGTAAATCTCTGTTGCCTGTTTGAAGAGGTCATGGGTACAGTTTACAATGTTATACAAACATTTCATGTAACTAAAATATATTTTTAAATACATATGAGTCCTATGTATTTATGTATGTACATATAACCTGAGAAACAGATTTTTCTATCAATGGCCAACGAATAAGGATGGGATGCAGCCTTGTTTCTCTGAATTTCTTTACCACAACACCTTATGCTTTACCTTCTTGATTTCAGGCTCTGATTTTGCAGAAGTAGTGCAGAAAGGTTCTGATTTAAGTTGCCTGTGAGGTAAGTTTAGAGTTGCCCTTGTAACCAGCATCTCAAGCAACTTATTGGACGTAGTTTGGCTTTTAAGCACTCCCTGTGAGTTTAGCATGCTCGGTGCTTGGGAGCAATTTTAAATATTGGCAAGGTTCCCAATTGATGGATGCCAGCCTTCGTTACTCTCTGTTATGGTGGAGAACAGAAGAGAGAAAATAGCTAGAGTTTTCAATGACTCGAATACCATTGTCAGTCACACTCCCCCAATAGGAGGTTCCGGAGGGTAAAATTGGCTGTGTCATTGCTCTCACAGCCAAGCTGAGATGCCATTTGCCTCAACGTATCCAGATCTAGTGGCTTAGCCAAGAAATTGTCACAAGAGGCACATAGTGAGGGCTAAGCAACCCAAGATCTTGATCCAGCAATGCCTAGGCGGCGAGTCCCTTTGATGTTACTCCTGGGGCCAGAGTTAGTACAAAACTTTCTTTGGGGGGTGGGTGGGTGGGGGCACAATCAACAACTGTGCGCTTTTAGCCTCAGCTTTCTTCCACAGGAAACTTGCAATGTTTGATATCTCATCGCACTGCCTTGGTCTCTAGAAGCTATTATACTTATCCAGAGACATTGTTTGGTTATTAATGGATGAGAAAATATATGCCCAGAGGTAGATGAATGAAACATATAAGAGGTCCAAAAAAGACTTATACTGTGTAGTCCTTAAGAAACCAAATCAGTTTGTATTTTGCTTTTTAATTGAAACTTGAAATGCCAGTTTGTTTTACTTTGTACAGTATGTAAAGGGCAAATTTATTGAAAACTACTCGGCTGTAGCTTCTTGTGTATAGCATTTCCCCAGAAATTCAAAAGCTATGTAAATAGCAATTTTCACACCGAACCTTAATCAAAAGCTGTGCTTTACTTTCATGCTGAATAAAAGGAAGATCAAATGTGCCAATTACATTCAGGGCAAGTGTGTAAATTATCTGTATGTAAATTCCTAACAAATGGTTGTGGACGTAATCCAGCAAAAGTGCAGGTCAAACTCCTGGATTAATTATTTCCTCCTCTTCCAATGTTCCTGCTCTTCTGGATGAAGGCACTAATTCATGCTGCTGTACGTTTGCACAAGCAACCTCCACTTCTCACCCACATGACCATTCATCCCCGAACCTTGACAGAGACAAAACCATTTGTCTGAGTTGCATCCCAGCCAAGCCTGCTGCTGATGTCCACACACTTTCACATCGTGGTAAAGAGGAATACTTGAAGCCTCAGCAAGAACAGGAGTTCTTGTCTGAGACTAATTATAGCATCCCAAGTTCTGCCTTGCCTACGATCAACTAACACTGCAGATCTGGGAACTCATGCCTCTGTGGGGTTCAGTTTCGCTTCAGGTAGAGGCTTTATCAACTGAGCTGTTGAGAGAGCTCACAGGACTTTAAATTAAATTTAGATGGGTGACCTAGAATTCATTTCTTTGTTAGGGAACACCGCTCATGACAGTCAAGATCTAAAGGCCTTCTACGCAATAAAATGTAGATTTTTCATGGGCCATTTATTATTTTAAATGTATTTCTTCAAAGAAAACATGTTCGGACTCCATGGGGGAACGCTCCTGATCTTAGTAGAAGCAGTTCCTGATTACTGGAGAGACAATGACGGAGCACAAGTCAATGCAAGCTTTGCGCAGCTAGTTGCTGAATGCATTGGCAAGAGGTGTGGGAGCAAGGTGTCTAACAATTATTGCAGCTGGGGAACGTGTGGTTCATTGAAGCTTGAAATAAAATGTTTCAGTTTTTTTTAAAAAAAAGAGCATTGCTCCCGCATAATAGAATTGATGTACTTTTTTGCTCCAGTGAAAATTACACAATGATTGGATTGTTGTAATTGACATGATGATGGTCACAGTTCTTGCTTGTACAACTATTGCTTATCCATGTACTGTGCATACCTGGAACGCTCATTAGGTAGAGGAGGACGAGTGCTGTTGTTTTGGTGTGCTGGACTGATATATACAGCATATATAACATATAGCCAAAGCATTTGACAGGTAATTACTGCTTATTTGTAGGCAAATGTGCTGTCATTTTGCACGCAGGAGAAGCCCGAGCAACCAGCTGAAGTGATTGTTGCCAATTCACAAGGATAAACTTTTCTTATCGCATAGTGCCATGGTATCTAACTCGTAAGCCTCTGCTTAATGCCTGTTTCACAGTACGGCACATTCAGCAACGAATCATAACCTTCCAAGCACTGGAGTTTGATTGCTACGTCAGCATTTTGTTTAGACTTTTGGATAGAAGTGAATTAGAAACTAACCTGTCAACTTTTCACTTACAATGTCCCAACACCACCAGCTCTTATCAAAAAGGCTCGATTTGATATCACTATATGCAATCAGTTCAAAAGAGGGTGTTTGTGCATTGTGTGAAAGCTGGTGTGTTCCTGTTTTGGAGATTGCATAGGGCCAGTTTGACAAAGATCGCAGAAATGTGTGATGTTAGAAGCACATTTGTACAGCAGTGAGGAGAATATATTAGCCCTTTGTATGATACTGTCTTGAGATTTGCCAACGTTTTTTTTAAAACTGTAGCATTGTTTTTGTAATGCTTCTATAGTCAATGCTATTATGAGCCTTAAACATTAAATTCCTGCTCCACATCATGCAATTGTCCTCTATTATTGGACTTGGTATAGTAATAAGAATAATAATCCTTATATTTGATATAGCGCCTTATCACGTCTTCGAGACTTCTCAAAGCACTTCACAGAATATACTGTAAAATGAATTGACTATGTATTATGTACTTCCAATTATGCAGATTTCGATTTCTGAAGATGTGAAAAGAACTTTTATTTATAATTCAGGGCGGGGGATCTTTCATAGGGGGTGGGGGTGGAGATGCATGCAGTAGAATTGGATGGACTATTTTAATTTATTCCTAAGGATCAAAGTATGAAGCTGAAGTGAAATTCTAGATACCCTGAACTTAAACAACTGCCCTTTCGAAATCACTGTGGTCAGCCCTATTTTAAACAGTGAAAGTGCTTTGCTTCTTCTCCTCCTCCTCCTAATAATTTTTTCTGTCTCTTTCTTGCTGCTTTTATCTTGTGGTTCCTTGTGACAGAATCAGCACCTTTGCCAGCAAACTCCAGCACTTTCAAACAATCGACAGGACTGCACTGTAAGCAAAGTTTGTGAGCGATGCCACTTGAAGTGCAACTAATAGTGCAGTGAGAGGCGCAATACAAACCAGCATTAGCATAAACTCGAAGATATAAAAAAAACATCAAGGGTTGTTTTTGAAGTCAGAATCTTGTTTTGATTTTTCGTGAGATTTCCAACCCTTTGTATATTTTGGCAGAAATGTTTACTCGAACAAAATGTGTCAAAGACTTAAATTGCTCAGGGGTTTTTCTTCGCACATTTGTTGAGTCAGTGTTAAACCCAAAACTTGGTCTACTCGTTCAAAGCTTAATTTATCGAAATTCATGAGATTGAAGCTGGGACTTCTTTGATGTTAGACAACAAAGAAAGCAAGACATCTTTTTGACAGATGAAACCACAATAATGCAGATTTGTTACACACCAGGTAAAACATTGAAACAAGCTGCATCTGGATTTGGTCTGGATGTGATCTCAAAGTAGCCAACAGTATTAAACACGTCTGGTCATTGAAGAACATACAAATCAAACTTCTGAAGTCCGGCGAGACAATTCTGAGTCCAAATCTACATATTTCTATACCTTTAACATCTACTGTGTCAATTAATTCCTGTGAAAACCTCCCTGAATTAATTGTGAAGACCTTTTGATAATGTTCCTCAACGTGTGAACATCAGATCTAAAGATGGACTAGGATACATCTACGTGCATTAGAAATCTTTTTGTGCATCTGTTTGTGCTCAGGTATTTGCTAGTGCATAAAATTGTAATAATGTATGCAGTGGGTTTATGGGCTTTAAGACCCATCTTAAGACATATCTCTTTGAATATGCTTTCAGTCATCTTTTCCCCCTTCCTACTCCCAACTTGGGTACCCAGCCAACGGTGTCAGGCGCTTTGAGATATCCTCCCAATATGAAAGGGTGCTGTAGAAATATATAAATTATATTGCACTGCGTCAAAAGATTTGGACAACCTGAACAGAAAAACGGTAATGCCAGAAAAAGATGTGAATAATGAGTTGTTATGCAGAGACAGGTTTTTATTGCTGTGGCCAACTCCCTTACTGAAAGGACTTCAATGAAACAGTGAAACTGAAAAATCATCATCCCAAGGGAAATAGCTCAAATGACTACTTATCAGAATTGACTAGTTATCCAAAGTGTCGTATCTAGAAAGTGTAATGTACTCGAACAGCTGGGATATTGAGTGAGTGACTATTTATGTGGGGTTGATTATTTATTCCCAGGGGTGGGATATCAAGAGTTTCAGTTTAGCATAAAACTTGCTCATATTCTCGAGATCAAGGCTTAGCCATCCTTATTTCAATGGCTTTCTTGTCCCACAAGTTGCCACCAGTCATCTGTATTTTTAAAAAAAATCATTTTCTTTTGGTTTACCGTGTAGCTGTTTGCGTAAATGGGAGAAATATATAACAAAGGTATTCGGGGCTGGAATCATTTAATTTAATAGCTTCAGACTTGAAGCAGTAGCACATAAAATTTTGTGCCATAGGCTTATCAAGTCAACACACCAGACACTTCAGTGACATTCCTTTTGAGTAAATCTACTTTGCTGTCAAAGCAAATCACTCACAGACGAGACATTTTATTCACTTTTTTCAGATGTTTTGTCCACAGACGAGCATTGGTAACATGTAGAGCTGCAAGTGTTGAGAGATTTTAATGAACGTGGTCCAAGCCAGGCAATTTACTCAATACTGGACCTGAGGCCTGCCAGGTTCTCACATCGTTCAGCAATGACATTCCTCTCGAGCAAATCGACCTTTATTTTTCCATTTTGCACTTGTACCAGAAAACCATAACACTCTTTCCCCCTCCTCCTCCCTGTACGAGTTTGACTGCTAGTAATGAACTGCAAAATCCTTCCTCAAGTTAATTACAATTTAAATAGAAAGCTCATCCGATTGGAACAAATGCAATTACTTTATGTGACTCTTAATTGACTCTCTTTATTGCTAATGCTCAGCTGTAATTGACTGGTAATAGCCTTTTGCATCCATGTTGATTAATTAATATGTTCTCTAAGGATAACACCCTCTTTATCATTGCTAAAATGATTTGACAGTAGGTGTAATCCACATTGGGATACTTATGCCATCACACACCCTTTGTACTTTCAGGATGTAGACTGTTCAAAGAGTGACTTCAGCTTTTTGCAGCTATTATTAATAAGAAAGGTCTTATCGTTATTTTGCAGCGTTCCCTCTTCGATGGAATCTTGAGATCTCCACTAGATTATGAGCATTATGAAATGTCTCAATATTTTGCACGATTCTATTACACGAGGCCACTAG